GAGGGAAAGAATGTGTTTTGGTTGTCACTAAGTTCATTCATGCCCTAATTCTCAGGAAAACAGATGCGAAATGACATTGTGATTGCTACAAAGTTTGCAGCATACCCGTGGCGTCTGACACCGGGGCTGTTTGTGAAAGCTTGCAAGTAAACATCTCTAACTATTCTGTTTTCTGTCTCATGCAGTGCGTGCTTTCTCATTTTTTTCCTACAAAAACTTGACTGTATGCTGCCCTGAAGGCACATAGCTTTATCATTTTCAATATGAACTGAAATGGATTTGAATGGTTTTTCAGGGCGTCGCTGGAAAGGCTGCAAGTTGAGCAGATAGGCATAGGTCAATTACACTGGTCTACTGCAAACTATGCTCCTCTACAAGAGTTAGCTCTCTGGGATGGTTTAGTTGCAATGTATGAGCAGGTTACCATTACTTATTTTCAAAGGGATTTCAGCTAGTAGAAATGCGTGTTGACTTGCAAGAACCTGTCCAGGATCGCAGTTGAATTCTGAATAATATTGAAGTAAATGTTTTTTAGTCCATATGCAAGACATAAACATTACTAGTAATTATCACACGATATGCATAAACATTCATGTGTTTATTTTCATTCAAGAACCAATATTTGCGAAACAACTTCTCTGAAGAATCAACGTGCTTTTTTACTGCTCAAAATCTAAAAACGAGATGATAACAATGTTATCCTTCTTTCTTTTTTACCCATCTTCATCAACATTAAGTAATCATTTATTCCTTTCTTTGGTTTTTTTATATACACAAGTCTCAATATAATTTCTTAATCTGTTGAGATTTCCTTTATAAATCCATATGGTTAAACTCACGCAAGGTGTTATTTAGGGTTTAGTTCGTGCTGTTGGAGTGAGCAATTATGGCCCAAAGCAGCTCATAAAGATCCATGATTACCTTAAAGCCCGTGGAGTGCCCCTTTGCTCAGCACAGGTATTTACATGCACAATATGTCATGACATTAGCAGAGCAGGTTAGCTGCATAAACAGCAATTTTTTCAGCTATATCTAGCACCATCAATCTCATATTGACACGAAACCAACCACTAGGTACAATTTTCTTTGCTAAGCATGGGAAAAGATCAGATGGAGATCAAGAAGGTTTGTGATTCTCTGGGAATCCGTTTGATTGCTTACAGTCCTTTAGGTCTCGGAATGCTTACCGGGAAATATACATCATCCAAACTTCCACTTGGGCCTCGGTAATGAGATTTGAGAACTTGCTACTTTAAATGTGTGATAAGAGGAGGTTGCTTATTGACTGCTTGTCCCATAATAGTGATCTTTTCTTCTGTAGGGCCTTCTTATTCAGGCAAATTCTTCCAGGACTGGAACCTTTGTTGAATTCCCTAGGAGAAATTGCACAGAGAAGGGATAAAACTCTATCACAGGTGAAGTTCAAATTTTTAGTGACTGCTTCTTGATTGTGCCTATTGAAAAGTTTACATTCCTGGACCTGTTTCTTGTCTGAAAGACCATAAGTGAGTAAACTATGGGTAGAGAATAATATCTATGCAGATTTACGAAACAGGAACTTCTTTAGTTCAGAGAAGGCCAGATTCCAATGCATTAATAAAGCAAGATAATCTCGCTTTGTTTTCAAGTTTCAGCAGTGCACATGTTATTGAGAGCACAAATGAAAAAAAAAATTATGGGATAAGAGGGCGATCCACAAGCTGCTTATTTAAGTAACCAATGCCTCTTAAGTCTCTTATATCAGGCATGTAATGTAGTTCCAGATGTTTTTGAGTCAGTTGAGTTCATCTGGCTTTAAGTGGCTGACATTCCAAGGCAACAATATGTTACTGATTTAGGATATTATGTTAGCAGGTCGCTATAAACTGGTGCATCTGCAAAGGTGCTATTCCAATTCCTGGAATCAAGACAGTAAACAAGCTGAGGAAAACTTGGGTGCCCTTGGTTGGCGCTTGAGTTCAGACGAGTTGCTTCAGTTGGAATATGCAGCAAGTGAGTCCCCTCAGAAAATGATCCAAAACATTTTTCAGACAAGGTAAGCATTGTATCGAAACTCACTACTTTTGTTTAAATTTTCCTTAAAAGGAGTTCTATTGACCAAATCATGAGTAACCACAGATGACTTGGGGATAAAGAAATCTATGTACTGGAAGTCCCTGTGACAAGAATTGAAGGCATGGACAAGGCAGAAGTTGAAAACCAGGTAGAAATCCTCTGTTATTAGTATTCAAAACATGAGGGAACGTTGACATGGGTTGCAAAGAGACTAAATGGAGAAAAAACAAGAAGTTGCATCTCCTGCTTGACCTTTATCCCTCATTAGACGATGTTGATGTTGATAATTACAATTGAACAAGATTTGTTAGTCTCAGTGATCTTCTGTATTTCCAATGAACATGTATCTTTTAGTAGTCGATAGAAGATTGACCAATTCATTCCGGAGCACATATTTTGAGAGAAATCGTTATAATCCCTACAATTTCCAGTTATCTGAAATCTGAATGCGAGACTGCTTCAGTTGCCTCGACATCAAGGATTTGGGATATGCTGGAAATTTTTGAATGGAGATGAACCAAAGTTACAGGGTAATGAGGAGATGGTTTGGTATATAAAAACCAATGATGTCTCTGAATGAGCTCACACTTCAAGAATCTGGCCTAGTAGCCAAGTTGTTGAATTCCGCAGAGTGCTCAGGCCCAATCTAGTAATTGAATGCCACTGAGGAACAGAAAACTACCAGGAGCAATAAAATTTGAAAGAGGACATAGTGATTTTACTGTAGTATCAAGGATACAAGACTAACTGGCAGTTTCAAAGAGTCTACATGCCTCCAGTTTCTTCCTGTCAACATGTCCTCCGGTCTATGAAATATAGCTTCAGTATAAATGCACTTTCAGAGGCCAAATTGGATTGACCGAATGCCCGAGTACCTCCTCCACACACATGCTCAGGAGTAGAGAAACTTTCAATGCCTATGCTACTGAGAAATAGGAAAGGATGCGTCGCTATGAAACTCAGAAAATCATGTTGGAATGTTGTAACAGGAAAGCTCCAAGTGCCCGCTGAAACGAAGGAGAAGAGCACCAAGAGCCAAAGTTCTAGTTGTAACTTGTGTATGAAATGCCATCTGTTTGCCAATAATCAATGCTTGCAGACAGGATGATGGTCTGTCCATCCAGAGATTAATCAAACACTTTCCTACCTAGCTAAGCAAAAAAAAAAAAAAAAAGGTTGATGACATGAAAAGCACAACAGTTTCTTTAAATCGGACATGGGAATTGCTGGCTTTAGACCTATGTAATCGAAAACTAATCATAAAACGAGATGTAAGGATGTTCCTAAACTAATTAGAGAGCCTTCATTTAACAAGCTTGCTGGGATTCCAGATTCTCCTCTCTTGTGCTTCTTCGTTTCTTCTTCTTACTTGAACTGCTTATCCCATTCATGTTCTGTTTGTACTCGAGAAATTTTGCATACAACAAGGTTGGCTTTTTGAACATCAACAACATAAAGTATCATGAGACAAAGTGTGATTCCTAAAACATATGCATTGATGTGAATCACATCACCTTTTCTTGAGTGCTATGGTCATCTTTGTTAATTGGAACAAACTCAGCATTAACGCTGAATTCTTCTACCATCCAATCAGTTTCAGATCCATTGGGTGGGCTTCCTTGATAGAAATTCAGAGTCTTTACATAACCAACAATTTTATCCTTCCATGCGATCGGGGCTGTGCCTTCGGGGTCAACCGCATAGTAGCCATTCTCTGTTAAGATAATGTCAGCGTCCTCGCTCCTAGTCGAAAAGAAAAACCACTCGTTGGCCACCCCGCCTTTAAAATCGTCTAGTAATTACAAAAGTTCGATTTTTAAGTAATACAAATAATGTAGACTTTATTCGTGCTTGATGCAGGAGGTTTTGATGAATTGTATTAGGATCTCGTGGATGGCCTAATATTTATGTATTTCGACTAGATGACCTCAGAAGAGTCATTGTGATCCCTTCTTCTTCTGGAAATTATTCGATTTCCATTCCTAAGATTCGGCTGCCACAATGCCGATGTTGCAACTAATTAACAGTGGAAACAAGTGGTATCATGCATATACATCAGTGGTGGGGATAGCATCAGCCGGAAGTTGCTGACCCAAAGATTTTTTCTTCAAATAATGAACAATTAGATCATCATCGTTAGGGCTAAATCTGTAGCCAGTAGGCACATTCGAAGCTTGTGCACCACTGGCCATAGTGATATTTAGACAAATTGTATAGAGAACAACTGTAATTCTAATTAGAAAAACTGAAATGCTAGTCAATGGAGATATTGATTTGTGCATGGTACGGTAGTGTGTGTGTGTGTGTGTGTGTGTTTATATATATATATATATATATATATATATATAGAGAGAGAGAGAGAGAGAGAGAGAGATTGGAAATTGAATCAGTATTTTTCCTATTAAAACTCAATCAGTGCTTTTCCTATTAAAACTCAACCAGTGCTAACAAGGATTTGATGTTGTTAAAGGATTATATGGATATGTTATCAACAGATGTGGTGTATAAACCAGAGATGATTTATAAACTTGTAGGAAAAGAATGAACTCAAGACAAAGTCTACTCGCGCTAGACTAGCATAGTAGTTAAAAAAATCCTATAATTTTCTATTCTACTATTGAATTAAATTATGCTTAAGTTTTTACGAGATGTTCTTAAGATCCAGTTCCATGCAAGCGTGCTTTGTTGGGCCATCTGCTAGACAATTTTTTTCTATATTTGTTTGGTTTGAGTTTTTTTGTTATTTTTTTAGATTGTGTTTGTTTGGAATATCGTGTCTATGTTTTATTTAAAATATATCTGTAACATGTTTGATAATAATAAAAAAAAAGTTTATTATTCATGGGTCTCATGATAATTTATGTTTGAGACACAGAGGGAAGGAAAGTAGCTCCTTGCTACTTCTTCCACAGACGAAGTTCATTGAACAGTGGAATATGCTTTTACTGTTTTGGTGAGACCGGATCCAGTCCAAAGTTTAAAATGCATTGAACTAGGTATGACTCGATAAAATTAAAAAAAATTATTTTTTTATTTTTTAATTGTGTTTTATTTGAAAAACTAGTGTTTAATATCATTCAATGACACTACATAAATTAAATGGAGATTGCTTGATGACGTAACATTTGTACAATTTGATCACAATTCTAATTTTATTTCTAATTATATTTTATATGATGTTATTGTGCGCTTAAGAAATTAAAAAAATTATAGTTTTTGTTGGATGTATTTCATATGTGATGTAATTGTAGATAGTTTAATAGAACATTAAAAAATATTTTATATAAAGTATTATATATTTTATGATGTAATAACAATAGTTAAATTTACAATATTTAAATTAAAACCATCAATATTAATATATATTTTTTAAAATTATAACCAAACATATTAAACTATTTTTTATTCAATCTCAATTTCAATCATAGTTTTAACCAAAACTACCACAATGCCATTCAACCTCAACAAAAAAATATTTTTTATAAAACAATTTTTTTCAAGTTGCAACCACGAAAACTACCACAATATTTTATAATTTTGATTCTATTACCTATTAGAATTCAATTTTATATCTATTTAAAGAAATTGGAAACCTCATAAAAAATAAAGCTTGATTAGACTTTATTTTAGAGAATACAACTACGAATTTAGAGTTGTAACCCTTTTCGTTCATAAAATTGTGTTTTTTTTTTTTGGGTGCTTCTTATTGTCTTTTGTGCTTCTTCCTGTGCACGAGGATTCAATCATAAATGTGGAAAACAGCACTAGTGATTCAGATTTCGAAGAACTTAAATGCCTGTGAATCTGACTCTATCTTATTCAATTAAAGTAGGCTGTTTCCGGGAACAAAACAGGAAAAAAAAGATAAGATGTGATTTTCATATTGTAGACTAGATGGATTTATCTTGAAATCCTCACTCCTTTCTTCACAGCATGCTCAAGTAAAGTTGAGACTCAAAACATGCAATGTACCTTTAGTTTCTGGGGCAAATCTGCCTGGTCTGCAGTCTGTCTCGGGTTGCCAGGTCTCCAGTGTGGCTCAGGCTCTAGATTCTTACAACCCACGAGGACAGAAGACCTGGGCGACTAGTTTTTCTAACATTTTTTAGAGTTTGCATTTTACATATTTATTTGCACAACTACAGCCACCTGATGGGAGACTGCTCTACTCATACCAAATCTGTCAAGTCCAGAAAGAAGTTTAAAATTCTTCATACTGAACAACAGCACTAGCTGGCCGGAATTCTGTGAGGCAATGCAGCAGGTACGCACAGGATATTTGCGGCATACCATTTGACTGCTTACAATGCAGACGCAAGCACGAAGACCATCTTCTGCAAATGTCACAGAAGACTACATGTTCATGAAGCATTAATGAGCTTTGAGGAAGTCACAAGTCGAAAAACTTTGCACGAATAGAGCACCATGAATGCTTCATGTGTTACTTGTAGAACTTACTATGGATCTGAGATGTGAGATTTATTTTCTTCAACCTGAGAGTTTCTCTAGCACAGGTATGTGCAGTTGTGCACATTAACAAATCATCACACCTCAAGCGTAGATGGAATGTCCACAAGTCTTCCTGAAGAATAATATAATTCCTTCATGTAGCTTCATCTATCACCTTAAACTTTTAGGTTCAGGTTGGGCACAAATCCTTTTGTGAAGTGTAGTTTGTCAGTATAAATCAACTTTCAGAGAATAAAATTGAATCCAAGGACGATCAAATACCAAAGTGAGTCTCCTCAAGATGAGAAAAACGGCAGGTGCGGAAGTCAGAAAAGGATGTATCCTCATGAAACTCAGCCAATTATGTTAAAATCTGAAAACAGGAAAGCGTTATGTGCCCATTGAAACAGAGGAGAAGAGCACCAACAGCAAAACTTCAAGCTCAATGAAACACAGAGAATGAGATGCATTGTAAAGTTCAATTAAGTTGCTTCGGAAAGTGAGATAGACCATAGGAAACACGCTCGTCAACATGCATTTACAATAGAAGAAATAAAGATGAACAGCAATCAATTGAAAATCAATGGACCTTATTGCTGAAGAAATTCATGCGTAACATTGTGTGAACACAAGAAATCCCATGAATACAGCAGTTCCCTCGTATAGTTCGAGAAGACGAGTGATCTAGGAGTAGCTGGTCTAGTTTTGAACTTACATGCCCATAATTTTATTTTTTTTAAGAAAATCTATACAGTGGAGTTGGTCTAGTTCTGATTTTGAGACTTTCTACATTAACAACATTTGCGGCTCAAGATTAGTCTCATGAAAATCTTATTTTTTCTAAAAAGATTTTATCCAGTGCAAAAGCCCTTCAATGGAACTTTAAATTTAGCTTGTCATTACCATAACACCACAGGTTTTGCACGGCGGGTCTGGAATGCTGGATTAATCGTATTCCAGGCCGAAACAATGAACCAATCTATTTCTTCTCGAAGATACCTCCTCTGTTGTCAACAATGAGAAAGTGCATCGAATCTGAAGTAGCATTAATCGCAAACTTGGACGAATGATGTTTTTTTCAAGTTTTATTTTTTTCATTTCCAACATCAATACATTTAGACAAAAAACACCTAAAAATATCAATTTAAAGTTTCTTCTAAGCAAAAAATAATTTAAATCACTTTGACAAACAAGTTATATATAACGGATACAAACATGAAAATATGAAAACTGAGATAGACAAAGCTGCTGGTGCGAGCATGGTAACTACAAAACTATCATTTTCTGATGAAGCTCAGATCTCAAGGACCAAGTAGCTGCAAGGTCAAGTCACCTAAATTTCATTTTCTATAAACACACCACTTCAACAGAATATACCCTTTTAATCAGATTAAGTGATATCTGCCACGTTATCTAAAAAAGATTTGTGTGAAGTTTGGATCACGCATTCGAAATAAAGATCACAGTACAAAGTATTCTAAAACCAAATAACATGAAAGTCTTCAACCCTAACAAGAAAAATATTTGATACCAACATAATCGAAGACAAACATCCAAAAACCTAATAGGAAATGCAGTAACCACGCCTCCTGATCAATAGTCTACTTAATCTTCTTCTTTGGCCTCAACTGCAAGATAAAACGAGATAATGGGTGTTAAATATTTTGAAAATAACACATGTAAAGCTGTATAATACTAAAATATAAACATCAAAGGCAATTGACGTGCTGAGATGATTTACCTGGTTGCTGTGGCCACACTTCTTCTTCCTGCAGTTGACAGCACGAGGATGCAGGCGTGCATAACATCTGTACAGCACATTATTCAACAGTCAGAATTATGCCTCTTATCACCACATAACACGATGTGCATTACACATATCCGCAGATAAACATAAAATTTTGAGGCCAAGACATTCAATATCACAACTGCTTAACATGCTGCATGCCTGATAGTAGTAAAGATGCACTGAACTTCTTATGAAATTTTTACCAGCTTGTTCACTACTTAAAAGCATTCAAGGTGTTAGGTACCTTAAATGGGAAATGGTTTAGATGAGCATAAGAACTTCTAGCTATTGATCAACATCGTTAGGGCAGAAACAAATGAAGAGTTTTAGGAAAATTTAACTTACTTGCGGCAAATCATCTTTTCCTGGTTATATTTCCTGGCCAATGCCATCAAAGATGGCTCAATAATGCCACCACGAAGCCTCAGAACCAGATGCAGTGTTGACTCTGCACAAAACAAATATCCAATTCAGGACCGTATTCACATTCATTTGATTGGTCTAGGAAGAAAAATCCACCAAGTTAAAAGCTTTTTATCACAATATTTCACATCTAAATATTGCAATGTAAAGCTTTTTACCGTAGTATTTCACATATATCTATATAATGCAATGTTATTTGACAGGTAACTTTTTTCAGCCAATGCTTAAGATTTTCTATGATATGACCATGAAAATTATAATAAATCAGCAGAGTTATACTTTTGAATCACAAAAGGTTCATTTAAACATAATTCAAAACAAGCCAGAAGCCAAATTAATAAAAACACCAAGCCCATCTAAAAGTTTGAATGTTTTTTTAGCAAAACTATAAACCTTTCTTTTTATCATTAAGATTCCATACAATACAATCATCATAGCTATAATTATTCAACAAAAACCCACTCTTTGAATTGCAAACCTTTCATTTAAAGGTAAATGAAAAAATCAAATTGACTATTGTTTATTTTCAATTAAATTTTCAGCAAAGATTCAGCGTTCCCAAAGGCACCCCTCTCTTGCAAGAGGATTCCCGGTATGTCAACACCTGGTAAGATTCTTCACGTTGCATCGAATTAAACCACATACTCCACTGCTTGTGCGTGCCCCAGTCAATTCCTTTGAGTTTCATTCTTGCGAACGTACTACCCAGGAGGGATACTTAACGCGTTAGCTAAAGCACTGCACGGGTCGATACGCACAGCGCCCAGCATCCATCATTTACGGCAAGGACTACGGGGTCTATAATTGTAAAACTTCATCTTTTACCATTAAAACTCTCCAAAATATGGCCATGAAAACAACTAATCTACTGCTAAATCAGCCCTTGAATCACAAAACTTTAACTTTACCATAATTGAGCAGGAGCAAGAACTCAACGAGAATAAAATTCCAACTTTTCAACTAAACCCAACAAAAAAAAAGTAAAATTGTTATTCAAGAAACTAACCCTTCTGGATATTGTAATCAGCAAGGGTACGGCCATCTTCCAGCTGCTTCCCAGCAAAGATCAGTCTCTGCTGATCAGGAGGAATCCCTTCCTTGTCCTGGATTTTGGCTTTGACATTGTCAATAGTATCACTAGATTCGACCTCAAGAGTTATGGTCTTGCCAGTCAGGGTTTTCACAAAGATCTGCATCCTGTCAAATGTGAGGCCACCGTGAGAGCCTGCTTTCTTTATATAGTGTGACGGTCAGTGGCAGCTAGGGTTTCACTTCGGTTTTGAGGTGGTGTTTGTATTTTAGGATTGTGGTATGCCGAACGAGAATAGGCCTCATTTTTCTAATGTCATGATGATGCCATCAGAGTTTAGTTAATTCATGCAGATCTCAGTTTTTGGATAGGCATTGGTTAATTTAATTTTTTAATATATATATATATATATATTAATTTTAAATTTTAAATTTTTTGAGTAAATAATATCAACAAATGTGAGATTTTCTTTCCCATTGTTTATTTGGATGGTCACTGGAAAAAATGTAGAGGTAGGTATCAAAATATTTCTATATTTAGAATTAATTCTTGTGAAAAATATTTCTCATATATTTAAGCCAGGGATTAATATATTTTTTTGTTAAAAAGTATAAAAGTAATTACTTTAAATAAAAACACTAAGGTATAAAAATCATAAATTATTTTTTTCTTTGATATAATTAAAAGAGATATTTTTCTATGCAAGTGAGATATAATTTTTATTAAATTCCATACAAATCTTAGCTTGATTTATAATTTGAATTATTAGAGTTATCTGAACAACAAGCAGATTATTGTTCGATCTAGATTTATTATTTTTATTTAAAATAATATTATTTAATTTCTTAGTTTTCAGTAATTAAAATTCGATTTTATTTAAACCGAGCCAGCTAAACCGCAAGTCAACTGGTATGGTTCCTGGTTAGTCAAGCAATGCCAAAAATAGTTTAAAATAAAACTCGTTTAGGTTAGGCAAGTGAGAAAAGATTGAAAAATAAAAATAAAAATCACAGCTACAGAAAACTCTCTTCATGGGACCCGAACCTTGCGGCCCGCTTTTGCTTTCCTCAGCATGGTCTGTCCACCTCATCAAAAACCCAGGGTAAAATTACCTTTTTTAGTTGGTCCCTCAACTATTCTGAATGTTTCATATAGCTCCTCGTCAATTAAATTTGCTGATGTAGACCTTATACTTCACGTTTGACTGGATGGATACAATTTATGTGTGGACAAGAAACAACTAGTCGCAGCTTTCCAAACTCTCACAGCGAGACCCACACATTGCAATGATACACGTGTACCTCTCTCCGCATAGCTTGAAACGCCACCTCATCAAAGAAAAAACCCAAAATCCCAAGCTCTATACTTCACCTACCATCAATCCAGATCATCAGAGAATCCAAGTGCTTCAAACAATCTAACGGCTGAAATAAATCACTCACACTTTCCATGGCTACTGCTTCTTCATCTCTCACCTTCCCCACTTCCCTGCCAAAATTTTGCAGACCCTCCTCCATTTCTATAACCCCACCACCACAGGTATCCGTTTATTTTAAGAAACTCTCTATCAGTTCTTCTTTAAAGATATCAAAAAGAACAACAACAAGGGCGTCATCCATGGCTTCTTCTGGGATCACCACCATTGATCAGAGTAACAAGAAGGTAGTGGAGGTGTTTGATACGGAGGAGGATTTGGCTGTGTCTCTTGCAAAATACACTGCTGATTTATCTGATAAGTTTGCTAAAGAAAAAGGGGCTTTCACTGTTGTTGTATCTGGTGGTTCTCTCATTAAGTCCCTTAGGTATTTGTCACTGTAGTCTTACTTGATTAAACCAGTCAAGTTCATAAATTTGATGTTCATTAATGGATTGATGATGATGGGTTCTTAATGGTTTGTGATTTTATTGCGGGGTTCAGGAAATTGGTGGAGGCACCTTATGTGGATTCAATAGATTGGTCAAAATGGCAAGTGTTTTGGGTGGATGAGAGAGTTGTTCCCAAAGATCATCCAGACAGTAACTACAAACTTGCTTTTGATGGTTTCCTCTCAAAGGTACATTTATTTTTATTTGTTTTGTAACATTGTGGTCTTTTGGCTGAAAACATTACATTGTTATCATCAGTTCATGTTATGTGGTCACTCTTCAAGTCATGTTGTTCTTAGTATTATGATCTTCCCATATGAAATTATTGATGATGGTTTGATTCCCTATTGTCAGTTTGAATGGTGTCATTTCTGTTTTTTTTATCATAAGTTTAGAAATATGAGTAGATCATTTAGGTGGCCCAAATGATTTTTCTGTGAAGTCTAGAAAAGTCATGTTTTTTATTATTTGTTTTACATTATATTATTAGACATTGGAAAAAGGTATTCCACCAAATGGAGAAATGCTGAAAGTATCTGATCATGAAAGTGCGAATGCTCTTGCAAATCTAGTTACTTTCTGTCATGGATATCAGACTTTTGATGCTAGTTTATGTCCTACTTTAATCAGATAAGCCTTTTCTGTCCTTAATTTTTTTCAGGTACCAATACCCCCTGGTAATGTTCATGTCATCAACGATGCCCTGTCTTCTGAGGGTGCTGCGGATGATTATGAAACTCGTCTCAAACATCTGGTTCATACTGGTGTGATAAATATATCTTCATTGAGCGGGTTCCCAAAGTTTGATCTCATGCTTGTGGGAATGGGTCCAGATGGACATGTAGCCTCTCTGTTCCCTGGCCATCCACTCCTCAAGGAAAACCAGAAGTGGGTTACTCACATCACAGATTCTCCAAAACCACCCCCACAGAGAATTACCTTTACCTTCCCTGTCATCAACTCATCTGCATATATTGCTCTTGTGGTGTGCGGTGCTGGTAAAGCTAGCATAGTGCAGACAGCATTGGGAAAGATTCAAAACTCTGAGGTGTTTCCTGTTCAAATGGTTTCATCTGAAGGGGAGTTGAAGTGGTTTTTGGACAAAGATGCAGCTTCAAAGCTGTAGGAGAGCAAATGTAACTTTATGAGTTCAACAAATAAGAGTCACGAGCTGCATGATTGTTTCTGCTGTGTTGTTGATCAGTAGATGTGCTACTCGTTGTTGTAATCTCAGTGATAGTTTTGGATTAGTGGGGATTTTCTTCTTGTACTTGGTCAATCAAAAGACTTACATTGTATGGAATGTTGTTAAGCAGCTTTTTAAAGAGAATTGTTTTTGCTGATAAAATCATGCTTGTATTTCACAGATTTTTATTATTGAACTTGTTGATTCTATAGTTTCTGTTGAGTTCTAATAATTCTTTTCCTGATAAATACCTCTCTATGCAGAAAGAGCCAGAGGCCATGGCATTTTATTCTCAAGGCAAATCCTGGCATTTCATTCTTGAGGATTAGATTTCTGGTTCTCTAATTAAGTCACTCAGGTCTGTCGCTCTCTCCCACTTAATTAAATTTGTAAAATTCTATCATTTTTTGCTTGCATGGAATTGATGATGATGGGTTCTTGTTGGTTTATTGTAATCTTTTGTTCGATTTAGGATGATAGTGGAATCACCTTTTATGGATTCAATGAATATGTCAAATGGCATATGTTCTGGGTGGATGAGAGAGGTCTTCCTAAAGATAATGTTGGCATTAACTACAAACTTGCTTTTGATGGTTCTCTCAAAGAGATATCTCGTTCTTTTTTAGTAATAACATGGTCTGTGTACATGAAAGATAATGTTGATATTATCAATTCATGTCACGTGATCATTTCTTCAAGTTACCTTGTTCTTAGGCTTAGGATTTTAATCTTTTCAATTGGGAATTGTCTGCTTCATGTCTGGACAGATGTCTGTTGCCATTTTGAATGATTTCTTTGTAGGCTCCAGTTGAGTGTGCTGGGTAGTCTAGAAAAGTCATGTTTTCAGGGAATTATTTGTTTGACATTAAAGTATTGGACAATGGAGAGGTGTTCCTCTGACAAATGGAAAAACTATGAAAAGATTCTGACATGAAAGTAAAAATGGTCTTATAAATCTATCTTCCAGCGCACCAAATGGAACCCTTAAAAATTGAAGCTGCCTCTGATTGATGTTGGAATTTTAATCATTGTTAATGCTAATATTTTGATGTTGAAAGTAAATATATTGAAAATTGAGGCAGGTTTGTTTCTTTTGTTATGGATATGAGAGAACTTCCTTTTATCACCATAACAATCTTAATCTCTTGTTGAGACTTATATGTCCAAGTAACTGACTCACAAAACATGGTGTTTGTGTTTTAATTTGGGAGCATATGTCCTTTTCTTTGCGAATATTAAGACTTATCATGCTATTTTATGTCCTTCAACTAGGTAAACTTTTAAATTTTCAACAGGTAAGAATTCTCACTGGAAACGTGTGTGCCATCAACAATGCACTGTCAGCCGAGCAAGCAGCTGACTGCTGACAGTCATGAAACCTGTCTCAAACACTTGGTTAATGCTGGGGTGAAGACAAATCATCAGTGAGTGGTTTCCCAAAGTTTGACATGTAGCTTCACTTTTCCCTAGGAATCCACTTCTCAAAGAAAATCAGAAATGGGTTTCTCACATTAAAGACTCACCAGAACCACCTCCAGAGAATTACTTTACCTTCCCAGTCAGCAACTCATCTTCATACATTGCCCTTGCTGTGTGCAATGCTAGTAAAGCTGGTGCAGTGCAAACAGCATGGGGAATTGTGCTGCCTGTACAAATGTTTAACTTGAAGGGGAATTAAAGTGATTTTTAGGCAAGGATGCGCCTTCAAAGCTGTAGAAGTGAAAACGTCTTAGTATTGTGAGCAAGTGATAGTGCTAGTTGCATGTTCATTCGTCTACTGTTACATCTCGACAGCTGTTTCTTTTGCTTAGGATTTTTAGTATCTTGATTGACATTCTTTTGGATATGGTTGAAGGATTATTGAAAATCTGTTGAAGAAACGTGGATGTGCCTTCAATTTCTGAGCTTGGTGTCCACGAAGATTAAGCTGTGACAATGTCCTCTGCTATCTATTTTTAGTGATTTGTCTTGTCGGTTGTGGTAGCTACGTGCTTTATCTTTGTTGGTAATCAGCTTCACACTTCATGCTTCATTCTCTTTATCTTTTTTATGCTTCATTTTTCTCTTTCTTATACCATTATTATTATTATCTCGGGAGAGTCGCTGTTATTTTTTTAGGTCAAGTTTGAAGTCATTTTTCCACGGTTGCATTCAAGTGAAACAAAGAACGGTGATGAATATGCAACTATATAGATGCCCTGTTGGTTGATGCTATTTCTGTGCTTATGCTTTATATGCGTGATTTTCATTTATTCCTGTTCTTCAAGTATCACTATTCTCTGTACTTTTGCTTTATATGCGTGATTTTCATTTATTCTTGTTCTTCAAGTATCACTATTAGCTTTACGCCTCATTCTACATCTTCTACATCCTCTCAAGATTCGTGCTTCCAGGGAAGACTCGAAGAAGTGTGAATGCTTCAATTTGGATGTGGATAGCTTGAGGGATATATGCTTCATTTGGAAACGTGGCCAACTGCAGAACTGACAGCATTCTCGGTATCTGAAAGCTTGTCCGAGAATAACTTTATCATACAAATAAATAAAATTATTATAATTTATTGATGGTTATGTTAAAATTCCAGAATTATGATTCTTATTTTATACCAACACAAGGGTTTGGTACTTCGTTGTTGCAGCCAAAGCTGATAGTAGAACAGAAGAGGTTTGACCTGAATTACAATGGATGAAAGAAGAGAAGATTCAAGGTTGTTGGCCGCCGGGGAAGAGAATTCGCAGACGCACTGCATACGCACTGCTTATCTACAGGTTGACCATGGATAAAACAGAGAAATTTCATCAAAACGAAGAAACAAAGAGATTGGATTAAGCAAGAGGCATCTCTGTTACATTTCAAATTTGATGTGCTTTGAATTAGAACTGTAAACAACCATGGAAAAAAACGAAATATTCTCATCTATTTAGATCTTAAAGAGTTGTTTTCAGACTCTGAAAAATTTCATAACAACCAAGTCCTTCCAGGTGTTCATGAGTGAATTGGATACTGGAACATGAGGAAATATCCAAAGTGACGTAGTTATTGAGTATTTTTAATGTATTTTTTATAAGAAAATATATTAAAATAATATTTTTTATTTATTTTTAATATTAGTGTATCCAAACAATAAAAAAATATTAATTTAATATTGCAAAAATAAAAAAATTTTAAAAAACACAATTCAACGCACAAATAAACACGTTACTCATCAAATGAGTTCACCCATCAATTCAGACAGCGAATGTGTCTGTAATAATATCCTTACAATGATGATGAAAAGTAATTGTTTTGAAGGTCTTAAATTCAATTTCTATCAGTGGCATTTTGAAAATGTGATATATCTAAACTTTTTCTTACTTGATGTGTCATTCATCTATATGTCGGATGTGAAAGGCATAATTTGATTTTTGTTTTTATATGTTTTCAAAAAGTATATTTTTTTAAAAATATATTAAATTAATATTTTTTGAAAATTTTGTTATGTTAATATTAAAAATTAAAAAAATATTTTTAATATATATTTTTAAATAATTTGCATGCTATTTATAAGTCATTTTAGTATCAATTGATCTATTTGATATTTAGTTAGATATCTACATAATATTTAAATTATGAGTCTTTAAAATATTTTGGAATCATTTCAAGGGTTTTTTTTTTATATATATATATATATCCTTCAATGAAAAAGGGTGTTGTTTTCAACTACATAAGTTTTAAATACTATTTCAAAACTTCGAAATTCCTTTTAAAGTTTTCTCAATGTTTAATTTTTAATAAATATAAATTAGTTTAATTTTTTTAATAAAACATGTCATTTCATTAATAATTTTAATTCAATATATATATCTTCAGCTTCTTCACAATAAAGATTTTAACCAAAATACGTGTTTTTTAAAACAATTTTTTAATATTTTCTCAATAAACATGTGTTTAATATTTAATAAATGTGAATTATTTTCTGTATTTATTTATTTTTAATAAAACACATCAATTCTTGAAGAAAAAAAGAATTCTATAACTTCTTCACAAACCTATATATCATTTAATATATTTAAATTGTATGCCAATTTCAAAGGAGTTTTTCAAAAAAATCACGAGGTTTTTTACTATTATAGTAAAAAAGAAAAAAGAACACTATCATATAGTGCAAGAATTTTCTCAACATAAGATCGGGTTAGAAACTTTTTAACAATTATTAACAATAATTTTTTTAATATAAACATAGACATGGATAATCATTACAAATAATCTCACTAAAAAATTATATCATAGATTTTTACAAAAAAAGAAGATCTTAATCATAAATGTCTGCCATTGATACATTTTTGGCCAAAATGTTTCAACGTTCAAGAATGTAAGACCAGACCCTGTAATTTTTTGGTCCTGTCTTGTTAATAAGAAGATTCAACCATTGATCCAAGTTCGACGGCTAGTGCTAAAAACAGGCACCACGTGGTTCCATGGTGGCAACCTCATCAAAAACTTTCTCCACATTCTTCAGACAAAAGCCTCGTTAAAATATTCCCATTATAATCACAAAACCCCACGTTGTATTTCTTTCCAAGAAACCAATAAGCACAGGACTGTTTCTCTGGTTACTGGTACAGAGTTCAACTGTTCAAGAGATTTGTCTGCTGCTGCAAAACAAAGTCTTCATCATCATCATTCATGGCTGATCAGAATAACAAGAAGGTGGTGAAGGTGTCTGACACGGAACAGGATGTGGCTGTTTCCTTGGCCAAATATGTTGCCGATTTGTCGGCTAAATTTGCTAAAGAGAGAGGGTCTTTCACTGTTGTTTTGTCTGGAGGTTATCTCATTGACAGCATCAGGTTAGTTACTGGTCAATTTGATTTGATCATATTCTTATCTGGAATACTGCTGGAAATGTTGAAGTTGAACAGCTGAGCACCCTTTGTGCCTCTTTGAATATATGCGATCTAGTTTTTTCGTGAGAGCTAGTTTCGGTGCACCAACGCTAAGTAGTACAGTCAAAGGACTAGGATTTAATGTTAGGATTAGGGGATTTCTGAGAATTTTAATTCATGCGATTTCATGTGTGAGTGGAATTTGATCTAGCTTGCTGGTGACTGGTGGGTTTGAAGTTTTTTTAAATCTTGGCTGATGATGGTGTTTAATGGGTTGGGATTTTTGTTTTCAGGAAATTGACAGAGCCGCCTTATGTTGATTCGGTCGAGTGGTCAAAATGGCATGTTTTCTGGGTGGATGAGAGAGTTGTTCCTAGGAATCATGTTGACAGTAACTATAAACTTGCCTTTGATGGTTTTCTCTCTAAGGTAATAACATTTTGCTGGTTTTCTCTCAAATTTAATAACATTTTGCTGTGGATTCAGTGATCATACATTTGATGGTGTTGCCTAAATATTAACTGAGGCATCAATGTGAATATTGTGATGAATGAGCTTCCATGTTATAACTCTTGGTTTTGCAAAAGTAAAGGCAAATTTGTTTACAGAAAAAGTCCCAAGGAAACAATCTAAAATGGGGATATTGAATGAAAGGGGAAAGGCTTGTCTGGTTATTGTTTTAGTTATCTTGCAGAAAGAAGAGAAATAATGATGATTGATAAGTGAACACAAATATTTAATCAGTCAAATAATTTTGAAAAATGGCCTTGTTAAAGTGGATTAATCTTGTTATGGAACTGGTTGAAGCTGAATTGGAATGATTGTTATTGCTCGTTTTCATGAATGTTCTTCAGCTGTGATGTTATCATCATCGATTTCTTCTGGTGCGTACGAGAGAGAACTTTCTAATTTTTACGAGTACAGTAACAGCGATATCTCGAAGGCGCAGAGTCCTTCAATTTTTATGTAGTTGATGTTGAAAGGGTGGTAGATAAAACCATAAAGGCACAGAGTATTCTTCATGCTTATTCCACTTCTAATGTTGCTGGTTCCAGCCGTTTTTAAACCGAAAAACCCTGACTTCTTCCCGGTTTTTCGTAGGTACCGATCCCCGCCGGTCAGGTTTACGCCATCAATGATGCCCTGTCAGCTGAAGGTGCAGCTGAGGATTACCAAACCGTTCTCAAGCATTTGGTTGATACTGGGGTGTTAGCCAAATCATCAGTGACTGGATTCCCAAAGTTTGATCTCATGCTTCTGGGGATGGGTCCGGATGGACATGTAGCTTCTCTGTTCCCTGGGCATCAACTTCTCGAGGAAAATGTGAAATGGGTTACTCACATTATGGACTCACCAAAACTACCTCCACAGAGAATTACCTTTACCTTTCCTGTCATCAATTCATCTGCATATATAGCCATGGTGGTATGCGGTCCTGGTGAAGTTGATGCGGTTTACAAAGCATTGGGAAAGACTGAAAATCCCGAATTGCTGCCTGTTCA